CATGCTCACCTCTAGTGGTCACATGCTCACCTCTAGTGGTCACATGCTCACCTCTAGTGGTCACATGCTCACCTCTAGTGGTCACATGCTCACCTCTAGTGGTCACATGCTCACCTCTAGTGGTTGGTCTTCACTGACCTCTGCTCATCTTAGGACTCTTTTACATACAGGGCTGTTTGTTATACTTTACTTGAGAATTGTAAAACACTGAATCTGACATATTCTGTGGTTGAACCTTCGTTTTATCTGTCTTAATCTTTGCGTAAAATATTTATTTCATAAAATCCAATACAACTGATTGAAAATAAAAAACAAATAAGGGAAAAGACTGAGATGTGTAGCATATGCTATTTAATAAAGTTGGTTCCCTGTCCTGTGATGCCACATAGGCAGCGTTCTTCTTAAGTTCCTCTCTCAACAGAGCCCTCGTCCACTAACCTCTCCTCCTCTCCCTCCAGCAGTGTGCGGTAAGCTCGGATCTCCATGTCCAGCGCCAACTTGATGTCCAGCAGCTCCTGGTACTCGTCCAGCTGCTGCTGCATGCGGGCCCTCATCTCCGCCATCTCCCGGTCCTTTTCGCCCAGTGCCCGGCGGTTGGAGTCTCTATCGCGGCTCAGCGCGTCCTCCATGTCACGGAGCTTGGCCTCCTTACCTGCCAGCTGCATGCAGAGAAGAGGAAGTGTCAGGTACAAGACAACAGATTCTCAAATAATTCATCCCCACACAGCTACCTCCTCATGTATCACTGGCCCCTCCCCTTTTAAATTGTAAGCCCTCAGGGACAGGGCCCTCCTTACCATCTTGTCTTGAATTGTATTGTGATTGTAATGTCTTCCTTATATTGTAAAGCGCTGCGCAAACTGTTGGCACTATATTGGAGTATAGAACAGGACACAGGCAGATTCAGGGATGGCTGGGTAATGTGCCGGTATCATTGATAGTGATTGGACACTGACCAGAGCTGTGAGGACCCTCATATGACCCCTCCGACTGCAGGAAATTCTTAGTTTTTTGGTCAGCTATAGAGGACACAGAGGGGAGGGTCCTACGCCCTGTACTGTACCCCAGGAAATGAATTTTATTAGTATGTACAGTACAGGACACAGGAAATTCAGAGATGACTGGGACATCTAATAGCAAGAGAACAGAGGGGTGGGCAACACAGCCAACAGGCCCGACCCAACACTGCTGACTAGGTTGGGAAACCCAACTTAGACAGCAGTCTATAGAACCCTTACAGCCACTGCTGGAATTAGAAGAGGTCCAAACATCCACCTCGTAGAACTTAGTCAACATATGAACAGAACTTCCAGTGGCGGCCTTACAGATCAATGAGGCAGATGCCGAAAAGGCACTGCAAGATCTAGCGGAGTGATCCTTCTCCCCGGCTTCACTCACTTCAGTGCCCCCAAACGGGTCATGTGCTAAGGGCGGTACAGGGGCCGGTGCTCAAAACTACATTACAGGCCAGACCCGCATGTTTCATCCAGCAGGGTGTGGGTATGGTCCCAGAAGCTATTGCCGTGGTGCACCGATCCCGAAGCTGCCATTGTTGCCAGTGCCAGATGCAGCCAGAGAAAACATGATTGAGGAATGGTAGGAGTAAGGTAAGCAAACTACACACATCTCCCTCAGTAGAGAGGAGACACCCATCACCTAAGGACGCTAGCAAAGAGGATTTCTGGGAGTGGGAGGGGCTATATGAGGGTCCTTAGCTCTGGCCAGTGTCCAGTCACTTGATGATCCCGGCATATTACCCGGTCGTCTCTTAATCTGCCTGTGTCCTAAGCTGTATGATAAAAAACAAGGAGTTTTCAGTAACATTTATGAGGAAATAGGTAAAAGTTGTAGGAACTAAATCACAACTGAACGTATGTAACATGAAGGTGGCCAGATAGGAGGAGATCTCGTACTCGCCCAAATGCTCTGATATCGGAACTTCCGGTCAGAGAAAGATTTCCTCTGAATGGCAGTGCCGCAGAGGAACATGGAGCCAGCTTATCGTGCGATCAGTGGGCAGCGAGTAATGACCCTCCTCCCCGATTGGCCAGCAAGCTGGCTCAATGCTGATTGGCTAGGAAGCAGGCTTCCCGGCCAATCAGCATCGAGCCAGCTGACTCTTTTCTGATTGGCTTGGAAGCCGGGTTCCTGGCTAATCAGCATCGTGGCAGCCGACTCGATGCTGATTGGCCGGGAAGCCGGCAATCAGCATGGAGCCAGCTTCCTGGCCAATCAGGAAGCCAGGAGGCGGATCATTACTCACCACCCGGCTTCCTGATTGGCCGGGAAGCCAGATCGATGCTGGTTGGCTGGGAAACTGGTTTCCCAGCCAATCAACATGGATCCAGCTTCCCGGGCAATCAGGAAGCCGGGCGGTATGTCATTACCCACCGCCCAGCTTCCTGATTGCCCGGGAAGCCTGCTCCATAGCAGCGGAAGCTCCGGTATCGGTATTCATTTTCATCGAGTACCGAAAGCAAAGCATAGTCACTCATACTCGATACCGAAAAACCGGTATCGGTGCATCCCTATTTATCAGTACCTCTTTTAGATATTCCTCTTAACATTTGCTGGACCTTAAAGGAGAACTATGCTTTTCACTCATCCTCATAGTTCTAGCCGACCTGTGACAATGGGACTGTCACAGGTCGGCTCAGTAGATCGGGAGGTGAGCGAAGACATACCGGCGTTCGCTCACCTCTCGATCCTGTCGCGGCTCTCAGGAAAGAAGGCGCCCGGGCGGTATGTCATTACCCACCGCCCAGCTTCCTGATTGCCCGGGAAGCCTGCTCCATAGCAGCGGAAGCTCCGGTATCGGTATTCATTTTCATCGAGTACCGAAAGCAAAGCATAGTCACTCATACTCGATACCGAAAAACCGGTATCGGTGCATCCCTATTTATCAGTACCTCTTTTAGATATTCCTCTTAACATTTGCTGGACCTTAAAGGAGAACTATGCTTTTCACTCATCCTCATAGTTCTAGCCGACCTGTGACAATGGGACTGTCACAGGTCGGCTCAGTAGATCGGGAGGTGAGCGAAGACATACCGGCGTTCGCTCACCTCTCGATCCTGTCGCGGCTCTCTGCCGTGACAGGGGAGGGGCTGGATTCCCCCTCCCCGCTCCGATCCGCCAGCGCTGACTGGCGCAATGGACGGGGGAGGGGGCGGGTACAGCTGGCTCTGCCTCTAGATAGGCAGAGCCAGCTGTCAGTCACGCAGCTGGGTGGATCCAGACATAATTGTCGGGATCCGTTTCAGCTGCGGCGTCTCAGTATACCGCGAGCTGTAACTCGCGGTATACTGAGCCTAGTGTGACGGGAGGACGCTAGTTTGTATCCTCCCGTTACCCTTTGGAGAACTATGGGGAAAAATCCTAACCCCATAGTTCTCCTTTAAGCAACTCTTATATATAGAATGTTTTAGAATGTAGAAATTATTTTGTAAGCTCTGCAAATCTCGAACTGCCAGACACATGTGCAGAGATTTGAATCCCAATCCCTGGCTGTGGCCACTGCCCCTCCTCATCCGTTTTGGTCTCACCAGCTTCTGGAGCTGGCTCAGCTGGGTGCTCAGGCTGTCTATACGGATGCGGCTCTGCTGGATCTCCTCGTGGGCCTCTCCCATCATGGAGCTGTTCCTTTCTGCGGACTGCTTGGCGTTCTCGAGCTGTAACCAAAAAAAAAAAGACGCGCTGTGATTTATACAGAGCCGAGCTGGCAACTGGAAATGATACAGCCTGACCTAAATCTCCTTATACCTTGGCATTGTAAGTCTTCTCTAGTTCCTCCTTGTACAGACCGATCTGGCCCTCGTGTTGGGAACGCAGGTCCAGCAGGGCATCCGCCAGCTTGCTCTCAAACTCCCGCTGGCGACCATTGTCAATCTCGACCAGGCGCGTTTCTTGCCGTCTCTTGTTCTCACGCATCTCCTGCAAAAGGATAATGATAGATTGACACCTCAGAGCACAATCGCTTTTTGACTTGCCATGGCACCTTAATGGGCACTTCACTGACCTCACTGTAGATGCTCTTCTGGAACTCCAGCTCCTCCCTCAGGGTCTGGTTCCGATTCTCTGCATCGACGCGGCGAAGCATCTCATCCTGAAGCTGCTTCTTTGCATCCCCGAGGTTTCCTTCCAGCTACAGAAAACAAAAGATAAAAAATACTGTATAAAAACACATATATACACTATATTGCCAAAAGTATTGGGACGCCCCTCCAAATAATTGGATTCAGGTGTTCTGTGACATTTCCTGGCTACTAAATATTCCGCGGTCACCTGTTAGTGGTATTATAACAAAGTGGAAGCAACTGGGAACAACAGCAACTCAGCCACGAAGTGGTAGGCCACGTAAAATGACAGAGCGGGGTCAGCGCATGCTGAAGCGCACAGTGTGCAGAAGTCGCCAACTGTCTACAGAGTCTATAGCTACAGACTTCCAAACTTGTGTGGCCTTCAGATTGGCACAACAACAGTGCGTAGAGAGCTTCATGGAATGGAAGCCGAGCAGCTGCATCCAAGCCTTACATCACCAAGTGCAATGCAAAGCGTTGGATGCCGTGGTGTAAAGCACGCCGCCACTGGACTATAGAGAAGTGGAGACGTCGTGTGGCCTTCAGATTGGGATGAGGTATGCCTCTGAGTCCCCACCTCTCTCCTGACCGAGTGCCCGACTTTTCATAGGGGGTGACACCAAAATGACTGTCTCCAATGGAGGCACCCGGGTGCAGGCCGCACCCCCCGCATGACGCCACTGCTTAAAGGAGAACTATGGGGTTAGGGCTTTTCCCCATAGTTCTCCTTAGGGTAATGGGAGGACACAAACTAGCGTCCTCCCGTCACCCAAAGCTCAGTACACCGCGAGCTGTAGCTCCTGGTATACTGAGACGCCGCAGCTGAAGCGGATCCCGACAATTATGCCAGGATCCGCCCCGCTGCGTGACTGACAGCTGGCTCTGCCTATCTAGAGGCAGAGCCAGACCAGCTGTCCCCCCCCCCGTCCGATCCGCCAGTCAGCGCTGGCGGATCGGAGCGGGGAGAATCCGGCCCCTCCCCTGTCACGGCAGCGGGCCGTGACAGGATCGTGAAGTGAGCGAACGCCGGTATGTGCTCGCTCACTTCCCGATCTACTGAGCCGACCTGTGACAGTCTCATTGTCACAGGTCGGCTAGAACTATGAGGTGAGTGAAAAGCACTCACCTCATAGTTCTCCTTTAAGTGCATTTTGGGTTGATCAGGAGTTGCGCTAAAATCGTGCAACATAAAAATTTGCAACTGCCGACATTTTATTCTACATGGTCTTGGCTGGTGTTCTGGGGCGACATAATGGGGG